ACTTATCTGAGTTATTGTTTAAACATGTTTAGTTTTTAGTAGTTTCACTTAGTTTTTAGTAGTTTCCCACAATAATGCGTCAATAGTAACAATATAAACAAGAAAAGAGAGGGCAAAAAATATATTTTACAACAATATAACTATAACTAAAATTGTCTATTAGTGTGATGCTTAGCCGCTGCAACTTCCTGTCCCTGCAGGTTGGGTGAGGTGCGCTGTGGGGACATCTGTAATGCCTGTGTCCTCCTGGTCAAGAGATGGAAGAAGCTTCCAGTTGGATCCAAGAAGAACTGGAATCATGTAAGGACACACTGAGCATCATTAGACCTGCAGACCTTTCCTGACACATTATTGATCTGATCTTAATGTAAAACCATATCCTCCTGTGCGGTTTCAGGTAGTCGATGCCAAAGCTGGGTCGAGTGTGAAGGCCACACTGAGGACAAAGAAGATGAGGAAGAAGCTTAGACCGAGCCAGATTGGTCGGGTGCAAAGCGAGCTGAAGAGAAACAGTAAGCTGACAGTGCAGTGCTGGTGTCATATGTAAGACTTAGGACTGTACATTGACATGCTGCGAAGTAGTGGATGTTCAGTATGTGATCAGTATCAGTCCTGGGGTCTGATCTTATGGACAGAGGTTTTACATTTCAGAAGAAGTGATATCCTGAGACAGTTTAAATTTAAATGATAGTGTGTAGTTCTCTTGTTGTTTCTAGTGAGGACCAGCCTTCTTCATATAGTACACAGTGATTAATGTGATATTTATCTCCTGTAATGAAACACAGGGCACATCTGTAAACTGTTTCAACTTGTTTTAATCATCCAGTTGTTTACAAGATATCTCCACAGTTGAGCACAGACACTAGGGCTGATTGCACAGTGGTTTTTCTGTCCTTCAAAACCCATTTTTATCTTCAGATTCTGTGCCAGTTATTTCATATGGGGGTTAAAAGTCAGACTGCCGTCTGACCAAATTCCCAGATATTTATGAGATTGAGCAGTTACACAACCATTATGTGTATGGATAGCAGGACAATGTAACATAGAATTATGGGCTCACTGGACTGGAAATCCATCCTACCCAGGATCCAGATCAAAAATAGTTTTGGGGTATCTCAAAACTCTAAAAGGGTGGAGATTAGGATAGATTTGATCCTAAAAATCAGGATGATCCTGATCCGACCGGAAGGGTGGGTCCAGCATGGACTCAAGGATGTTGTTGTAGTTCACTAACACTAAACTAAAAAGTAAAA